TGGGGGGCGTGTCCTCTCGCTTCATTCACTCCCATAGAGACACAAAACTGCCAGAGTTGTACTGTCGCGTTAAACCTTCTTTATCGTGGCGTATTATTTCCCCATTGAAAAATAATCCAAATGTTTCCCGCGCATGTTTCCATCAAGACCTGGTTTGAAGTAACAAACGTTGTTCTTTACTGCAGCGCATGAACGCAGCTCAACCACTTGATCTGTTCCAGACGCTCCTATAACAGGTGACATGTCACTATGTCATGTAACAAATAAACATGGTCAAACACAAAATACTGTCCGTGTCTTCACTGTCATGAATGTAGTGTTTGTGTAGACATGTACAGGCTTATATAATGTGTATAATGATCTAGTTCACACAATTTGCAACCAAAATAGGGACTGACTCATTGGATCATTTTGACACAATCACCCAGAGTGAAATATTACACAACATCTGTGAACACAACAGGTAGACGACATCTCCTGCTTCCAGACCCAGATGCGGTGGGCGTGTCCACTCGGCTGTAGATGCGGTGGGCGTGTCCACTCGGCTGTAGATGCGGTGGGCGTGTCCACTCGGCTGTAGATGCGGTGGGCGTGTCCACTCGGCTGTAGATGCGGTGGGCGTGTCCACTCGGCTGTAGATGCGGTGGGCGTGTCCACTCGGCTTTAGATGCGGTGGGCGTGTCCACTCGGCTGCAGATGCGGTGGGCGTGTCCACTCAGCTGTAGATGCGGTGGGCGTGTCCACTCAGCTGTAGATGCGGTGGGCGTGTCCACTCAGCTGTAGATGCGGTGGGCGTGCACCTTAACCACTTGATCTGGTTGTCGCTGCGCTGCTGCTGCTGTAGACGCTCCATGTCAACAACTAATATGGTTCTTGTTTTCTCTTTCAAGTCGCAAACCTGCCGATAAAAATACTCAAAGATAAACTGTAGCCAGTCCTGTTACTCTCAGGGGTCTGCGTGTGTAGAGATGGGCCTATATTATATGTACATATATGCAATGTGACATTTCACACAATTTGCTGCCTTAATATGGGTCTAAACTAGGATCAAACCAGATATAAAACATCTGACTGTAGACTACAGGTAGACTACATCGCCTGCTTCCAGATCCAGATGTGGTGGGCGTGTCCACTCGGCTGCAGATGTGGTGGGCGTGTCCACTCAGCTGTAGATGCGGTGGGCGTGCATCATGCTCCCAATCCTTTTAGTCAGGTACAAAAGAAATAAGTATCATATAGGCCAAAAGTCGTTTACACGTTCAGTATTTTGTCATCCCTAATGCACTGTTGCCCTGTGTAATTGGCTGGTCTAGAATAAATAAAAACTGTGACTGCGTTTGCCTATTATATGCTTCGTGATACAGAATATACATTCATCTGACCAGAGACAGACAAGAATGTTTTAGCATCAAGATCAGTGAAAAACACTACACAATGAACATATAAACTTCAGTGACGACAAAAAGCCTCCAGTCCAAAAGGCATGTATGCAGCCGCAGCGCAGCAACAACCAGATCAAGTGCTTAAGGCACGTGCACGCACATCTGCAGCCGAGTGGACACGCCCACCACATCTGCAGCCGAGTGGACACGCCCACCGCATCTGCAGCCGAGTGGACACGCCCACCGCATCTACAGCCGAGTGGACACGCCCACCGCATCTACAGCCGAGTGGACACGCCCACCGCATCTACAGCCGAGTGGACACGCCCACCGCATCTACAGCCGAGTGGACACGCCCACCGCATCTACAGCCGAGTGGACACGCCCACCGCATCTGGGTCTGGAAGCAGGAGATGTCGTCTACCTGTTGTGTTCACAGATGTTGTGTAATATTTCACTCTGGGTGATTGTGTCAAAATGATCCAATGAGTCAGTCCCTATTTTGGTTGCAAATTGTGTGAACTAGATCATTATACACATTATATAAGCCTGTACATGTCTACACAAACACAACATTCATGACAGTGAAGACACGGACAGTATTTTGTGTTTGACCATGTTTATTTGTTACATGACATAGTGACATGTCACCTGTTATAGGAGCGTCTGGAGCAGCGAACAGATCAAGTGGTTGAGCTGCGTTCATGCGCTGCAGTAAAGAACAACGTTTGTTATTTCAAACCAGGTCTTGATGGAAACATGCGCGGGAAACATTTGGATTATTTTTCAATGGGGAAATAATACGCCACGATAAAGAAGGTTTAACGCGACAGTACAACTCTGGCAGTTTTGTGTCTCTATGGGAGTGAATGAAGCCGAGAGGACACGCCCCCCATGCCTCCAGATGTGGCCCCGCCTTTACCAGTTAAACTGATCACCAGACAATCCGGACACCGGAACTGAGAAACGTCCAGAGAGACGCACGGACCTGAGGAGAGACGGAGAGCTGCTCCACTGCTGAGGAGACAACGGTAATTCAGAGGATATTTCATTAGTTTTTCCCACGTAAACGCTGCATTTTTACATCTCAAATGTTGATTTTACAGACAGACTGACGGTAACTGCTCCTGAAGTAAAACCGTGTGTGTTTAGTCACAGTTCAGTTCAGTTCAGTTCAGTTCAGTTCAGTTCAGTATCGGGAAGTGAAACTCAGACTGAGGCAGTGACGCAGTTTGTGTTTCTGATGTTTGTTTAGTTTTTCTCTTAGTTTCTTGTGTCAGAATGACATTTTCTCTGGGATGTGTTGGTGTTCAGACTCAGTCCAGCGCAGGTTGAGTTTGGATCAGAAAAACAAACTTTGACGCATTACACTTTTTCTGCCACAAGATGGCGGAGTGACGTAAAAAGTGATTTGTGCGTCCAGAACTGTGAATATTAAACTGTTTTGTAAAACTTGCCGGAATAAAAGTTTATAAAATTATTTCAGAAAAATTTCAAGCTGTGATTGTCCCCGTGACTTTAATGTGATAAATCTTTTATTTTCACTCTTATATAAAGTTGGGTTTAAACAGTTTTACACAGTAAAGTTTTTATATATTTGTTTGAAATGACAATGATTTGTTTGTTTTGACTGACATTGAGTCAGTGAAACTTTTAATGCGTCACAAGCTCTTCGTGCACAGATCAACCTTTGGGGAAAATAAACTGTAGCTGTGACTGGACGTTGTCCTGGACATAAATGTGCGTCCTGCACGTGTCTCTGTCCCCGAGTCACTGGGGACATAATGTCCAACAGATTTGATCTGATGTGTGAAGTGGAGGACGTTTCTGCACAGACACAAAACAAACTGGCGATGAAGTTTGATTTTCACCTCCACAACAGTGGAAGTTTCCAGAGTCTGTGTCCCGCGGCTCCTTCACAGTGTAGGGAGCAGTGTCCTGAAGCGAAGTGCAGCTCAGACCATCAATAAACTCCACCTGCACTGAACGGAGTTTGATTAAAAACATAATCAGCTGAAATAATCAAACGCAACTGTGAACAAAAATAATCTTAATACAAATAAAAATAAAAAAAGGGATTGTGCATGTATGTTTTATAAAACATTTGATATTTTTATGTATTTTGAGGGTTAATTAAAGAAAATTTATATTTTTCTTCAATATCGTCCAGGTCAAATAACCTAAAAACTCCAAACTTAATTATTATGGTGGTTCTAGTCCTCATGAATCACACACACCTTTTGGATTTACAAATTTACTCTTTTGGGGATTTTTAGGATTTTTTTTCTGATTGAAAATCAATGATTTTATTTTTGTTTGTTTTTTCAGTAGCTTCTGCAGCAGGAGACCTGCAACTCCAAACCAAGTTATTATAATAGTCCTGGGCCTCAGTCATTTTTTTCACTGAATTTTAAGGGGAAAAATTTGATAAAAATTCTACAAAGGGTAAATGTATAAATCCAAAAGGTGTGTGTGATTCTTGAGGACTAGAACCACGATAATAATTTACTTTGGAGTTTTTAGGTTATTTGACCTGGAAGATAATGAAAAAAATGCATTATTCAGTAACCCTCAAAATACATAAGAATATCAAATGTTTTATGAAACATACATGCACAATCCCTTTTTTATTTTGAATTGTATTAATCTGGGCTTAATCAGTACCGTTGTCCGCTGGCCCGGGGCAACTTAAACTTTTGTCCGGGCAGGTGGAAATAAAGCGACACAAATCTAGTCCCCCAATAATAATATCTATTTATTTGGCTGATAAACAAAGCGACGGGTTGTCTGTTCATAACGCATTTTTTTCATTTTTCATAAGTCCAACCGTTTGAACGGCCACGAAAAACGGCCGCGGTGACAAGTGCTCACTTCATGCGCGCTGCTGTGCGCGTCACAGTCAATGTTTTGTTTTTCCCACTGACTTTAGGCATCTTAAATAAAACAGACGTAATATTACGCTGCCTCCTACAATCTTTGCCCAGTCAATCAAAAATGTCCCTTAGTGCGAACCGCGCCACTCCAGCCCTTTTTTCTGTCTCTCATTCTACCGTCACATGTCACATAGGAAACTTCATGACGCGTCGGAATGAAAAGCGAACTCACGGTTAAACCCAACTCCATAAATGTGCCATATATTTATCAAGCCTACGCACTAATCTCAGTAAGTAGTTCAAATGCATAGGTTATTATTATAGCCCGTGCTTTTGGGAATAACATTCAGTGGGGCGGTACCGGGGCGTGTGGGCGGGGCGTGTGTCACCGGAGGACCACGCCGCGTGACATTAAACCCGCTTCTCTGCTTCTGTCCTCACGGAGCCCTGCACGTGCGCACTCCCACATCGTACTGAGATCCATTCATAGAGAACAGTCCTGCCCGTGCGCCTCCAGTGCGTCGCTCCAGTGCCACGCGCGTTAATCCCGTGTTTTCTTAACCCATTACGCAGCGACGAGGAGCGCGAACAAGGACCTAAATTTAAGCAGTGCAAACTAACTCCACAGTAGAGGACGAGATATGTAGTAGTTTTCTTCATAAGTGCGCAAAGGGTATAGTTACAATTTATGTTTTTATGCAAATTAATGGCCAATATTATTAAGAAAATACTTTTCAGTCATTGAATAACTTTATATCTATGTTAATTCATATTTTAAAACAGTAGGCTACTATACACGGTTCAGGTATAACTCCAAATGCGCACGCAAATAAACGCACAGCTGATGTCACGAAGACTGACCTGCGCTTCAGTTTCGCTTTTGTTTCTCGTTTTCTGCACTTCATATAAAAGGCAGCGCATGGAGCATGTGCTCTTACTTTGATGAATAACTTTACGCTTTTGCTACTCGGAGGAGGACGGAGGAGAATTATGGAGAACTTTAGGCAGATTCGTTTGGATACATCTTTACGCACACGCGCTCCACGCTGGAAATATTTACCAATGAGGAGCAGGGTTTTTGACGCGGACACTGCAGGCTGTGACTGGATGTGGATTTATTATTACGCACTTTGGCTTTGAGACTCTATAAACGCCCCGCACTGGAGACTGGGTGTTCTCGGGTGGATACAAGTTTCACGCTGCACCTTTGTTTCTTCAGCTCTTCTGTTTTACCGGTAAGAGACACACTGCACTTAGTTTGGACACATGTAGGACATGCTCAACATGAGCGCTGTTTGTGCAGTACATTTGCACAGAGCGCAGTACTGACGCGTGAACACCTGCACCACTGATACATTGAAGTGAAATTAAAGTGTGTGTTGGCTCATTGACGCGGGCTTTTAATGAAAGGGACCGAAAGTGGGCACCGAGCGAACTTTTGTTTTTTTAATACCAGTTTTTTAGTACTTACCAGTACTTACCGAAACAGAGTTTCGATACCCAACACTGTCTGCGCAGACTATAGGCTCGTGCAAGTCCAGTTCTATGGTGTACTGGCACTAAAATATTTGAAATGTGAAATGTGCAAGTGAAAGTCGGTTTCTTAACCTGTGGGCGAGGGTCCAAGGGAAGGACTTATAAGGCTTTATATTTGTGAAGCTCATGAAGCCAAAATTAACTTTAAACATACAGAAAGTAAATCAGAAGTAATGCAAAGTAGTGTAACTCCATTACATATGAGGGACAATACTGCATTACAAAATGTTACACTGCAAAAGGCAATATGTATCACAGTTTCAGATTAACTTGCTCATTGGTCCCAGATGACAGCAACCAGGACTATAGATGTTCTGTCATATTTATCTATAATCACATTAGTTCTAGTTGTCACCTGCCGGCACTCTTAGATCTCTGAGTGGAAACAAGAGAGAACCATTTAATGAGAAGACCAATGATAATCGTTTTCATCTCGTATACATACAAATTTGGACACACTTTTTCATTTATGCTTCTTTTTTTCCCTCCATATTTACACTGTGGAGTGTAGTGTGAAATGATTTAAACTTGTTTTATATATTTGAGATTCTGCCCCACTCCCTCAAACCATTTAGTCACTGTGGTCATGTTATGTTGGTATTTATATGAAAAAAATGTTTTTATATGCCTGTGCTAGAGTTCTAGTCACGACTGCATTAATTGAGACCAAGACCTGTCCGAGACCTCAGGGTCCTGAGACCAGGACAAGACCAAGACCTCTGAGGGTCGAGACCAAGACCACAGCCCATCGAGACCAAATCATGACCATCTTTGTCATTTTTGACATTTATTTGTATTTTACAGTTATTTTGGCACATATATATCAATATTTTTTGAAATCTATCTCCATTTTATCTGATAAATGTTAATTTAAGATTAAATTAAGACAAGCAAACTGTACTGTACTGAACACTGCCCTTTTTTAGACTCTCACCCACAGTTTGAGAACCTTTTCTTTAAGAAAACTTCCATTGGTATTTTACACAAAACTGCTTCAAAGTGAATAAAGTGGGTATAGGATTTTTAAACCCGTTTTGTCAAGTTTCTAACTGGAGTTACTTCACTTACTGGTTTTGCAGTGGGATTTACCACATTTACCAAACGCATGTCGTGACAAACATAGATGCATTTTGAGCACTTTTATTAGGCAAACTTCAACCACATGTAGCAGTAGTGCTGCTTTGTGCCAACAATGTAACATAAATTTGGATTTGTTTTAGTATTATTTTTCTAATCTGTGGGCATTGAAGTGGGAGCCTGTTTGTGATATATGCAGGGAGGAGCGAGAGGTGAAAAGAAGGAGCAGATGACGTGAGGCAGATGGGCAGGTAGAATGTTTTAAAAAGTTTAACCTGCCCTGTGATACATGCTGGTACGAGAGGTACACGCTTATGGAGTAAGAAGCTGTCAAAAATATTTGTGCGCACAGAATAGAAATCCGTGCATATTTGGCTGTAGTTGCGCATAAAATAAATATTTGTAAACTCTCAAATGAGTTCAGTCATACATAAAATATATTGTGTGTATTTTATCCATCAGAATACGAATTGAAAAGTTACAACGTCATGAATTACAATCACGAAATGAAAATTTACGATTACACTTTCATCAGTACGAATACGAATTCACAGACGGAACTTTACTGTCAAAAATACGTCATCACTTCACAGACATTATTCATCGAGCAGAAGAAACATCGATCAAGATCAAGACTGTGCAGCTCAAGTTTGTATCAGAGTAAAAACAGAGTAAAAGCACAAGAAGCTACAACAGAACAACAAGTGGGTTCATTAAAATCTATTGTAAAAATGTCTTGAATTGAACCGAACGCTGCTGTATAATATTGTGTAGAAACACCTCCTCTGAACGGGAAATTGCACCTATATGTTAGAAAACATAGTGGAGCCAGTTGGAAACATCAGACGTAACGTTCTCCAGGGCTAATTAGCAAATATGAGTTTCTCTGTATGTTTAGATTAAAACATTCACGACTCCAGCCACAGCGAACATCAGTCAGTCTTAACCTACAGCTGCATTTCAGACAATGGGTTATACATGAGTTATAATGGGTTATACATGAGTTATACATGAGTTATAATGGGTTATACATGAGTTATAATGGGTTATACATGAGTTATAATGGGTTATACATGAGTTATAATAATGGGTTATACATGAGTTTATAATGGGTTATACATGAGTTATAATGGGTTATACATGAGGTTATAGATCAATCCATCCACGACACGGTGACGTTAAACTTACCGGTAAATACTGTAAACATACCAAGGTGTTGCCTGTAAACACGAACATTAATTGTTGCTGGAAGCTGCAAGTAAAGTGTAATGTGGAACATTTCATTGGCTGTGACGTCTGTAACCAGGACAGTTTGGTGTAAACTGGGACATTTCAGCGTCCTGAGGAACTTTTGGTGGCATTTCATGCGAGAAATGCAGCTGAAGGTTCAGACTGACTGATGCTCGCTGTGGCTGGAGCCGTGAATGTTTTAATCTAAACCTACAGAGAACCTGATATTTGTTAATTAGCCCTGGAGAACGTTACGTCTGATGTTTCCAACTGGCTCCACTATGTTTTCTAACATATAGGTGCAATTTCCCGTTCAGAGGAGGTGTTTCTACACAATATTATACAGCAGCGTTCGGTTCAATTCAAAACATTTTTACAATAGATTTTAATGAACCCACTTGTTGTTCTGTTGTAGCTTCTTGTGCTTTTACTCTGTTTTTACTCTGATACAAACTTGAGCTGCTCAGTCTTGATCTTGATCGATGTTTCTTCTGCTCGATGAATAATGTCTGTGAAGTGATGACGTATTTTTGACAGTAAAGTTCCGTCTGTGAATTCGTATTCGTACTGATGAAAGCGTAATCGTAAATTTTCATTTCGTGATTGTAATTCATAACGTTGTAATTTTTCAATTCGTATTCTGATGGATAAAATACACAATATATTTTATGTACGACTGGACTCATTTGAGAGTTTACAAATATTTATTTTATGTGCAACTACAGCCAAATATGCACGGATTTACCAAATACGCACGGATTTCTATTTTATGTGCACAAATATTTTTGACAGCTTTCTTACTCCATACACGCTGTTGTGGACAAGGCACACGCGCTGGGGCGCTCCACACAAACGCACACCCGCACGCCCCCGCACGCCCCCGCACGCCCCCGCACGCCCCGCACGCCCCCGCACGCCCCCGCACGCCCCCGCACGCCCCCGCACGCCCCCGCACGCCGGTACAAGTTTATTGCCAATAGCAGTGGACGTAATGAAATATGATCGCACCTGTCTAATGTCAGACCTCGAGTCCGAGACAAGACCGAGTCCAAGCGCCTTCAAGACCGAGTCCAAACGTGGTCGAGTCCGAGACGAGACCAATAACTCGCGTAACCTCGCGAAACCACAGCCGTGCGTCAACGCAAAGGCGGCTTCTACCGGCAGCTTGCAGCAGGAAGTACACGCGCAGCTCTGACTCTGTGTTTCTCAATGAGAAAGACGATCAGACTTGACTGGGCGCGTTTAGCCGCTTGTATCAGGTCTACAGTTAAACTAACAGCTGAACACACTTGTATTTACCTTCTGTACAGGCTGACCACGGCAAACATGAGGATTTCAAAAGCAAATGTTAAAGCACTAATTAACAGTATTTCTGGACCTGGGCTCTTTCACACGACACTGTGGACATACCGGCTTGTAAAAGCCTGATTCCGTCAGATCTCAGAAGCTCAGCAGGCTGGGCCTGGGTTGTACTTGGATGGGAGACGCTAGGACCAGGTGCCACAGTGGGGCCAGTGGCAAAAAACTGTCGTTGTGTCCTTAGGCAAGACACTTCACCCACATTGCCTAGTATGAAAGAGGTGTGAGCGTGAGTGATGGTGGTGGTCAGAGGGGCCGATGGTGCAGATTGGCAGCCTCGCTTCAGTCAGTCTGCCCCAGGGCAGCTGTGGCTACAGTAGTAGTTTACACCACTGAGTGTGGAGTGACTGAATAATGAACTGTAAAGCGCTTTGGGGATCTTGAAAGGCGCTATGTAAATGCAATCAATCAATCAACTGACACAGATCTGCCCCAGGAGCTTGTTGTGCTGATCCAGGTGTTGCTCCTCTGACCAGTGGTTCAGGACACATGCCTCAGTGAAGTAAACCTGTTCATAAAACAATAGACAGAGCACATTTTGAGCTGCTTTACTTCACAACAGAAGATTGCTTCTCCTTCTTATGCACATAACATTACATGTAATCCAAGTGACATGAATCCCTAAATAATAACATTTGTACATATTGGTAAAAACACTGTAGATACACTTTTTAAAATCTTTTTAACCATATACAATTACATAAATGAATTACTGTTTTTATCTGTATTTATATCTAACTCATTTTAACTTCTACAGATATTTTTTAACTATAACCCATGAAATACTAGATAAATGAAATCACTGTGTTCAATTCAGTGAGTGTCCATAAGATGGCGCTGGTCTCTCCAAACTCACATGACCAACATGTGCTTATTACACATTTACAATAGCATTTTTGGTACTTGGTAGTAAACTCAAAATGTGCACTTTTAATGTGACATACAATCCAGCAAATGCACTATTGCATGAAAAATATTTCCTAAATGTCCTTAAAGAATATAATTCAAGTGGTTCCTTGTGCTTTAGACTGATTTATGTTAGCGTTTAGCTTTAGCTTAGCCACGTTGTACTTTCCTCACACTTGACCACTAGCTTAGCAGGTTAGCTTACAACACGATAACAACTCCCTCAGAAACCCTCTACAAACTTTGCTCCACTTTCTTCCTGCTGTGCACGGAGTAACCTTTGACATTTAATAACTTTGACAGTTGACATAAAACTTGTCATTTTAGTGTTACCAACCTGTTAATAAAAGAATAGACAAGAGCACGTTTTGAGCTGCTTTACTTCACAACAGAAGATTGCTTCTTCTTCTGCAGCGCTCAGTCTACTCTCTACCAACGTTGCGACATGCGCCATCTACTGGTCAGTGAAGGAATTGCACGTTACCTCAATAGAGATAATCTGTTCCTGATGTCTCCTGGGCGCCTCCCTCAGGAGGTGTTCCGGGCATGTCCTGCCGGGAGGAGGCCCCGGGGAAGACCCAGGACACGCTGGAGGGACTATGTCTCTCGGCTGGCCTGGGAACACCTCAGGTCCCCCCGGAGGAGCTGGAGGACGTGTCTGGGGTGAAGGAAGTTTGGGAGTCCCTGCTTAGGCTGCTGCCCCCGCGACCCGGCCCCGGATAAGCAAACGAAAATGGATGGATGGAATAGAGATAATAGAACCACATGAATTATATACAATGAAATAAAAATGAAATACTCAAATAAGAAAGTAAAATTTGAGGGGTGTCTGGTTTCTAACTGGCATTTTTCCAGCCTCTACACAGGCCCTAAAAAAACGGTGTAGAGTACTACGACACTAGTCTGTGCACATATTTAAAAATATATAATTAACTGAGCTCCATTTTGTTTTTCCAGGCAAGTAAGTCTGGGTGTCGGGCAAGTAAAAAATTATAGCCACTTGCCCGGTCAAGTACTTGTAAATGCTTAATGTTAAGCCCTGTTAAGTATTATTTTTTTCACCATTGTGTTTGATTATTTCAGCTGATTATGTTTTTAATCAAACTCCGTTCAGTGCAGGTGGAGTTTATTGATGGTCTGAGCTGCACTTCGCTTCAGGACACTGCATCATGTGGAAACTGTTGTGGAGGCAAATATCGAACGGTGAAACCAACTTCACCGCAGCAGCTTTTTGTCCTCTTTTGTTTTCACAATCATAATGTGACTTTCCACTTAATGTGATGTTCAGAGGTTTGACAGTTGCTGTCGACCTGCACTGTGAGGACGCAGCAGAACTGGATCATCTGTAAACATTAGACCTTTAAGGAGCTGGGAGCTCAGAGGCCAATTTATTCGATGTATTTGGAACTAGCCCAGGACTCTTATCGTTGACTCTGTGACGTAGCTCCAAAGGTCAAGGAGTTAGGAGTTAGGAGTTAGGAGTTAGGAGTTAGGAGCTAGGAGATATGATCTAATGTATTCAGAACTGAACGAGAAGTCAAACTGGTTTCTACTTTACTCTTAAACCCGCCCTGTGTGTCTGTGTGTGTCTGTAGCTCTGACCTCTGACCCCTGTGGATCATTCTGTTCTAACTGTGACATTTTAAGTCTCAATATTGATTAAAAAGACTTTGTGAAAGAGAAAACTGCATCGTCTAAATTCATTCAAACCTTTAACATAAAAAGATTAAAAAAGACAATCACGGCACAGCAGTCGTTGTGAAGGTGCTTCAGGTCGTTGGACCTGGAGCTCTTTACTGCTCCCTGTGCGATAACAACCACTGTAACATGGTTCACAGCTCAAGTCCATTTTGCAGAATAAGTCTGAACAGAGGAACACGTCTGTGCTCACAGTGCAGATAAAGAAAAGTCCTATTTTTAATTCAAGCTTTTTCTCTGTCCACCAGGGGGCAGCGTGTGGAAGGAATTAGAGCAGAGATGGACCCAGGACCGAGCGGAGATCAGGTAAAACCTCAGTTATATTCATCATGTTTGACTTTTACAAGTGTGTTCTTAAAGCAGCAGGTGAAGGCGGCTCCTCTGTGTCCTCAGGCCTCACACTGGAGCTCTGTGTCCTTAAAGAGTGACCACTCCAAAGAACTTCCTCCAGTCTTCAGTCCTGAGCCTGGACCTGCCTCACAGTGAGACTCACACAACACAAACTGAAACAGGGTGAAACACTACAACAACACAACATCTTTACTTTTGTGTTTTGAGTGTTTCTCTCTGTTGTGTGGTCAGTTCTCAGTCTGGACTCAGTGCTGTGTCCTTAAAGAGTGACCACTCCAAAGGAACACCTCCAGTCTTCAGTCCTGAGCCTGGACCTGCCTCACAGTGAGACTCACTCATGTTTCTAAACACGTTTCTGTTCAGAATAGTTTCTGCTCAAAATGTGCACACAGCCTGGTGTTTTTAACCTGTCGACAGCTGCACACAAATAGTGTCTGGTGTTTTTGTGATGTTTGGACGGTAAAGCTAATTATGCCATTGAATAAAATGAATAACACATGAATAACACATGAATAACACATGACTTAAACATGAATAACACGTGACTTAAACATGAATAACACGTGACTTAAACATGAATAACACGTGACTTAAACATGAATAACACATGACTTAAACATGAATAACACGTGACTTAAACATGAATAACACGTGACTTAAACATGAAACACAACATGAATAACACATGACTTAAACATGAATAACACGTGACTTAAACATGAATAACACGTGACTTAAACATGAATAACACATGACTTAAACATGAATAACACGTGACTTCCTGTTGACAGAGGGCTGGACCCTGAGGACGTCGGCGCTTCGCTGGACGTCATTTTCCCGGTGAGCTCATGTTTTATAAAGTCTGTAAATAACCAGCAGAGGGCGCTCACAAGCCGCCTGTTTGTTCTCTGATTGGTTCATGGACCTGTCAATCAAACCCATCTGAACTCAGGGAGATTAGACCCGGTTCCTGAATGTCTTTGTAAATCTGAGGAACAGCGTGTGACAGATTTAAAAACATTTTCCTGAGAGAACGTCACGTGAGTGTGGAGTTTGTTCTGAGCAGAGCTCATTACCCCCCCCAGTGGTTCACGTGTGTCATCACCTACAGACAGAAGTGTCAGTGTAACTGAGCCTGTAGCTCTGCTCTGTCCTCTGGAGCTCACTCTGTCTCTCCTTCTGTCACAGATTCTAGAGAAAAACGTCTTGAAGTTTGTCCAGCAGGAGCTGCAGAGGATCCACAGGCTCCTGGCCTCAGATTACCCAGAATGCTCTGGGAGAGAGAAGGAACCGAGCACAGAGGTTCTGAACATCACACTGGACTTCCTGAAGAGGATGGACCAGGAGCGTCTGGCCCAGAGGCTGCAGCACAGTAAGAAATCTGAACAGTGTGGTTCTGTTGCAGGAACATGATACTGCAGTACTATATAATATAATAATACTGCAATTGTAGTGGCAGTTTAACTCCAGAATTTGCCACTATAGCTGTGAGGGCCGTGTGGCTTTAGCTTGACTCATGTGTCCAAGCTGAAACCGAAAGATTCAATGTCCAAACTTACAGAATATTGATTATGAGGTTTAATTATAGATGCAGCTTCCATAACTGAAGATTACACAATATATCTGGTTCACACGGTCAAAAAACTGTATGGCCTCAACCCCCTACAGCTTCCACACAAAAAATAATCAGGTCATACAGGCCACCTGGCTATAAGCCACCAGGCTCCACCCCCTTGAACCAATGTAGGACAAAAATGTCCGTAACAGCAATGATCAGTCAAACCTGCCAAAGGTATTTTACACACACGCCTAAACTATGAACCAAGTCATGTTCTGTGGCTCTGTGCTGCAGAGACGCTGTAAATATGTGTCAGAGCGAGTGTGTGATTGGCTCTCATGTGTGTCAAGGAGCTCTCTGATTGACTTTCATGACAGTTCAGGAGCTGTGCAGCACTTTCACGTAGATTTGACGGAGACTATTACCCCAATTCACACCAAAGCACAACAGTGAGTAAACGCAGCAGCAGAGCACATGAGCAGCAGACGCGTAGGTTTGGCTTTCCATTTTAACTGGTCTGACAATCCACACGGCAGAGTCATACGGACGTCCAACAACCGTCTGACGCTGACGCGCTGCTCGAGATAGATTGGACTTCTAATTTTGCAGCGTCAACGGAGCGTCTCCAAGGTTTTTAGCAAGAGAAAGACAGGAAATAAACACGCAGTGTCAAAATAAACTTCCGATGCCCTTTCAATTTGAGTTAACTAAAGTCAAGACAATGAAGTAAACAACACGCACTGTGTCCAAGGAAAGGTTAATGATGGACCACGAAAAGTTAATCCTCGAAGTGGAGAAATATAATGTAATTTACAATGTCAGACATCAATTCTACAAGGACTCGGGACTAAGCCAGGACTAAACCAGAACTAAACCAGAACTCACTGTTGGAACAGGCTCGTAGGTCCGCCCGCGTAGACTGAGTGACCGCAGGTGAAAGGACCAGTGCAGAGCTCCGCTCCCCATGGAGGTACATGCAGTGTCTCTCTCTCTCTCTCTCTCTCTCTCTCTCTCAGATTAGACCTGGTTTAGTCCTGGTTTAGTCCTGATCCGCCCGCATACCCGCCCGTAAAATTCCACAACATTAAAACCTGCCCGTTTCAGCAACTCTTTGCCCGTATCCAACGGTGCAGGACTCTGTATCAGTATAGAAACATATAGGCCTTATTACCTGTACGTACATAAGGTTTTAATCACACTCGTAATTAGAGCCCGGCCGATATTATCGGCCGATATTGGCAAATGGAGACATATCGGCTATCGGCCGATATGCTTGCTGATAGGGGCCGATATTTCATGTGGGCATGTGATATGTTGTTAAAAATCTTAGACTCTCTACATTCTGTTCATTTAATCCAATTTACAGACAGATAAATGTCCTAATATGTGGCTCCACATCAGTATTTATCTGTGGAGTCATTTGTCTGTGTGTGTCCGTACTGTCCCTGAACACACCACAGAGTCGCGTCACTCATGTGTGTTTGTTTACACCTGCAGACACAGATCCAAACACTGAGATTATTTTCTTTTTACGGACAATCGTTTGAGTCTGGATTAAAAGGACATTTATTAGTTCAGATTTGTGATGTGAGGAGGAGCCTGTATGAGCGGTGAGTGTTGGAAATATGTCGACTTTGAAGCTAGTTTTTGTCATTTGTTATGGGTTAGCTGCTGTAGCTCCTGCACATAAACAGGCTGTTTTCTATTGGTCTATTGTAAAGTGTTTACATTGGCCGTATATTTGTTACTGGACCTGCACTGATATGTAAATGAGCTGTGAACAGACGTGTGAATTATGACATTTGCGCATATAATTAATTACTGCGGCGCGCACGTATTTACAGCTAACGGCTAATAGCGGTAGTTTCTTTACTAGTTATGGGTCGGTCGCGAACGAAATGACTCTTAGAATCCGACTCTTTGAAGCGAGTGACTAGAGCCTGATCCTTATTAGGAGCCGTGTTTTCTCTTTCTCTCACTTTTTTTCTCTTCACGCCGCGTGCAGACTCGTGGTTTGACAGTGGCAGCGACTGAAAACGAAACTTTGAGAAATTTGCGTGTACATAGGATAAAAAAACGAGCATATTTGGCTGTGGTTTAGCATAAAATAAATAAACCAGGACTAATCACGAGATTCCCAACACTCAGTCCTAGTTGAGTTTTGGTTTAGTCCTGTTTTACACATGGTCTAGCTCTGTTTTAGTCCTGGTTTAGTCCCTTTTCAGTCCTGGTTTAGACGTGCATTAGACCTGCTTGCAACAAAACAATCTGAAGAGTCTCTTGGGAGCCGAAAGAACCAGCAGCTTTTAGTGAGCCGAGCCAAAAGAGCCGGTTCTCTAAAAAGAACTGGAATACCCATCACTAGTGTCTAGAATGTGATGCAAAAATGCCATTAAACCAACCTACTGTCTGTAAATATGACGTAAAGAGGCAGAATAACAATAAATGTTGCCTAAATAAACCCAATTTAAAATCCACTAGAGCCAAACCTAAGTTTTTTAAACAATTCAGCATTTACAGTGAATTTTTACATCACTAAATATATCGGCGATTATATCGGCAGCTCCAACTCCCATTATATCGGTTTCATATCGGCCACAGCAAAATCCATATCGGTTGGGCTCTACTCGTAATGTTACGTGAACCATTAATTAAAGGTTAATTTACCTTATTAAGAAAAAAAACTGAGGTGTTTTATGTGTGTGTTAATAGATTTAAACCTCATTAAACCACAAATACAAGATGAAGTAGAAATGTAGCTTTATAGATATAGATGTTGTAAGACTCGTTTGGAAGAGCACACGATCAGCCATAACCATCTTAAATGCGTTCTGCAGTTCTACATTTAATTCACAAAACACTTGATGCACATTCTACATGTTAAGAACAAAAAGCAAGTACAAAATGTGATGTCTGAAAACAGTGAGAAGACGTGCAGGCTGCGTGGCAGGAGCGTCTCTGATGTGAACTGAAACTTTTACATTTACGCGTGCGTGCAGCTCCGCCTGTGTTAAACGCTGCTGCAGCTCCTGGTGTGAATTCGGGATTAACCAGCATTTACTCAATGAAGGAGCTGCAGACGAGAATACAGATCCACTCATCAGTGCTAAAACCACGTGATGTTTGGATCAGACCTCAATAACCTGCACTGAGTCCACTGAGCCGAGTCCACAAGCTCCGTCTCACATGAGTTCAGTGCAGGACAGTGCAGAACATAACACAATAAAATATCCTGGTAACTGATCTCTCAAACTACATTTAGTGAACAGAAGTGTTTCTGACACGTGCACACGGGTGTCACTCAGGACTGTTGGAAATTAAGGTTGAAATATAATGATAGAAAACAAAACAAAGAGCCAAACCACACACCGTGTGCTGAGGCACGTTAAGTTACTGCAAGGGAAATTCTTTGACCATAACAGTAGTTTATAGAACATTATCAGTGAAAGGTAAGTGACATTTTTCCATGCAGTAAAGTCTCAAATGCAGAACTATAAAGGTTTGAGATACTGACTAACATCATTATGTAATGGTTTAAATAACCTCTTTAACATCTCTCTCTGGTTTTGAGGTAAGGTCTGTCCTCTGTTCCCTCAGGGTGCTGTGTTGGAGTTTATAGCAATAATCTGAAGACTCATCTGCAGCAGAGATTCAGCCGTGTGTTTGAGGGCGTGGCTAAAGCAGGAGACTCCGCCCCCCTGACCCAGATCTACACAGAGCTCTACATCACAGAGGGCGGAGCCTCAGAGGTCAACCAGGAACATGAGGTCAGACACGTGGAGACGGCGTCCAGGAGACCGGCCGCTCCAGAGACCATCATCACATGTGAAGAGCTCTTTAAACCCCGCCCACATTCACCACAGCCAATCAGACTGGTGCTGACGAAGGGCGTGGCCGGCGTGGGGAAAACAGTGCTGACTCAGAAGTTCAGTCTGGACTGGGCTGAAGGCCGGGCCCACCAGGACCTCCACCTGCTGTTCCCCTTCACTTTCAGAGATCTGAACGTGCTCAGAGACACACAGTTCAGCCTGGTGGAGCTGCTGCACCACTTCTTCAGTCCATCCAAACATCTCTGCAGCTTCCAACAGCTCCAGGTGCTCTTCATCTTTGACGGTCTGGACGAGTGCAGACTTCCTCTGGACTTCAGCCAAACCCGGGTCCTGACCGACCCCACAGAGTCCACCTCAGTGCACGTGCTGCTGGTGAACCTCATCAGGGGGAGCCTGCTTCCCTCCGCTCTCCTCTGGATAACCACGCGCCCCGCCGCGGCCAATCAGATCCCGGCATGGTGCGTCTCCATGGTGACAGAGGTGCGAGGGTTCACCGACCCACAGAAGGAGCAGTACTTCAGGAAGAGGTTCACAGACCAGGCCACAGCCGTCATCTCCCACATCAAGAGCGTCCGCAGCCTCCACATCATGAGCCACCTGCCGATCTTCTGCTGGATCCTCTCCACAGTTCTACAGAAGCTTCTGGAACAAACAGAGGAACCAGAGCTGCCCCGGACTCTCACACAGATGTACATCCACTTCCTGGTGGTGCAGCTTAAACAGAAGAATGTCAAATATGATGAGAAACTGGAGGCGGATTCTACTTGGTCTCCTGAAAATGAAGAGATGGTGAAGTCTCTGGGAAAACTGGCCTTTGAGCAGCTGCAGAAAGGAAACCTGATCTTCTACGAGAGTGACCTGAGCGAGTGTGGGCTGGACGCTGCAGCGGCCTCAGTGTACTCCGGAGTGTTCACACAGGTCTTTAGAGAGGAGCCAGGCCTGTACCAGGACAAGGTCTACTGCTTCATCCATCTGAGTGTGCAGGAGTTTCTGGCTGCTCTTCACGTCCATCTGACCTTCTACAGCTCTGGAAAGAACCTGCTGGAGACACCTCACTCCTCTGACGGGAACCTGCTGTCTGTCATAAAACCTAAAAGAACAAAAAAAACAAAAAAAACACACATTTCAACACAAAAAACCTCCATGTCACCAGACCCAGAGGAGATTGAGGACTATTCAGATACAAATGATCACTTCTCAGGTGACTACTCCTTCAAAGCCCCTAAGGTCTTCTACCGCTTTGCTGTGGACCAGGCCTTACAGAGTCCAAATGGACACCTGGACCTGTTCCTCCGATTCCTCCTGGGGCTGTCTCTGTCGACCAATCAGCACCTGCTGCAGGGTCTGGTGACTCACACAGGAAGTGGATGGAGAAATCAGAGGCTGCTGCACAGTCTGCGAACTGATGCAGGGAGTCTGCAGACAAATGTGGAGACAGTAAAGTACATCAGACAGAAGCTGAATGAGGGCGTGTCTGCAGAGAGAAGCCTGAACCTGCTCCACTGTCTGAACGAGCTGAACGACCACAGTCTGGTGCAGGAGATACAGAAGGTCATGAGTGAAGGACGTCTCTCTGATAGAGACATGTCTCCTGCTGAATGGACGGCTCTGTGCTTCCTCTTACTGTTATCAGACTCAGACCTGAAGGAGTTTAATCTTCATGAATATTGTGCTTCAGAGGACGTCCTCCTGAGGCTGCTGCCTCTTGTGAGAGTTTCAAAAACAGCTTTGTGAGTCCAGAAAACATTTTTATCATTAAATATAATATTAATCTGTAAAGATCTAACCTGTGAGTTTGTCTGCAGATTAAAGCGTTGTCACCTCTCCTCTCGCTGCTGTGCTCCTCTGGCCTCAGTCCTCAGCTCCTCCAGTCTCACACATCTGGATCTCAGTGACAACGACGTCCAGGACTCAGGAGTGGAGCTGCTGTGTGCTGGGCTGAAGAGCGCCCCCTGCAGACTGGAGACGCTCAGGTGAGACACTCCCATGATGCACTCTGATTCCATCAGGTGTTGTGGCCCAAGGTGTTGTACCTGAACCACTGTGGTGGTGGGGGGGGGTTGAGGAGGCTCCAAAGGTTCTCAGTAGGGTTGAGGTGAGGGGAGATGGGGCCACACCATGAGTTTGTTTTCTGCCCAGAGCAGCCAGTGATGCAGAGGGATTCGAGCAGCATGAGATGGAGCATTGTCCTGCATGAAGATGATTTTGCTACAGAAAGCACAGTTCTTCTTTTCGTACCATGAAAACACATGATCAGTCGGAAACTCCACATACTTTACAGAGGTCATTTTTACACCTCCAGGGACCCCAAAGGGGCCGACCAACATGATTCCAGCCCAAAACATGACTCTGGACCTCCCTGTTGGCGTCACAGCTTTAACTCCATCCATCTGGACCATCCAGGGTTGCACATCTCTCATCAGTGATCAAGACTGTTTGAAAATGAGTTTTCCTTCACCTTGATGTTCGCAGGACTCCAGAGGCACCAGCAGCTTCAAATACCTGTTTGCTGCTTGATAATGGCATTTTAGCAGCTGGTTTCTGGCAGAAATCTTCCTTATTGTGCCTTTAGTGTCTCTTCGGTGTCAGTGTGAAATCCTTCATTCTGACATCATGTCACGGATTGAGGCAAGACACAAACTGTGTTTATTCCACTCACAGCACAGTGTAACAGCAGCATATGCACTGGAACTGACTTTATCAAGTGGCTAGTGGCAATGTAATGCCCTCTAGTGGTGACACTCACTTGGTACAGTAGCCACAAATGGACATAAGGGACCAATCCCACAACCAAGCCAAGAGGTTTCAAAATGGCCGCCCATTCAAGTCAATGGGCCGAGCTCAGTGTCTCATGATTCCAGAATCGCCTTTAGCCTGGTGAGGTTCTTCCAGTGACTGTGGGTTGATTGAGCATGTGCAGTGGAGTCTTTTCTCCCATGGGCAACGTAAATGCACAGAGTGAATGATTATGAAGTGTTTTTTAAGATAACATTTTAAGCTGAGAAAAAGTTTATGATCTAAAACTAGGTAAATATCACCAACAAGTCCGACATTTTTGAAAGTTGTAGGTCCCTGTCGGACAAACACGAGCAGTAAAATGGGCACAGAGACGTTTTCAATCACTTTTAGCTTCAATGTGCAGATGAAGAACAGAAGTTTACAGACATGAGTTTTGACACGGAACTAGAAACACAGACGACATTTGTAAATATAACAATTTACCAGGGAAGCCAAAGTAAAACGAATCCTGGGTGAATAGAGCTTTGTTTAAATCTTTAATGACAGATAACACCCCTTGTGTTCACATGAGTGTAGTGCTGCCCCCTTGTGTTTACATGAGTGTAGTGCTGCCCCCTTGTGTTCACATGAGTGTAGTGCTGCCCCCTTGTGTTCACATGAGTGTAGTGCTGCCCCCTTGTGTTTACATGAGTGTAGTGCTGCCCCCTTGTGTTCACATGAGTGTACTGTTGTGTTTTTAGTCTGTCTGGATGTCTGGTGTCAGAGAGGGGCGGAGCTGCTCTGGCCTCAGCTCTGAGCTCCGCCTCCTCCCACCTCAGAGAGTTAGACCTGAGCTACAACCATCCAGGACCCTCCACCGAGCTCCTGATCGCTCTACGGGACGACCCACACCGCCCCCTGCAGTCTGTCAGGTGAGACCACACCGCCCCCTGCAGTCTGTCAGGTGAGACCACACCGCCCCCTGCAGTCTGTCAGGTGACACCACACCGCCCCCTGCAGTCTGTCAGGTGACACCACACCGCCCCCTGCAGTCTGTCAGGTGACACCACACCGCCCCCTGCAGTCTGTCAGGTGACACCACACCGCCCCCTGCTGTGTATAATGTGAATGTTTTCTCTGTTTCAGGCTGAAGCCTTCAGGGGCCCAGTGGATGACCCCAGGTCTCCACAAGTGTAAGTGACACATGAACTGATTGTGCTGAACAAAAGTGACCGTGACTCTGTTGTGTGTTTAGATCACACTGACCTGACTCTGTCTGTGTTTCTGTTGTGTGTTTAGATCACACTGACCTGACTCTGTCTGTGTTTCTGTTGTGTGTTTAGATCACACTGACCTGACTCTGTCTGTGTTTCTGTTGTGTGTTTAGATCACACTGACCTGACTCTGTCTGTGTTTCTGTTGTGTGTTTAGATCACACTGACCTGACTCTGGATCCAGACACAGTAAACGGGTTCCTGCAGCTCTCAGACGATCAAAAGACCGTGACGTCAGTGAAAGAGGAGCAGCTCCGTCCGTTCTCTTCAGAGAGATTTCAGTGGCCGCAGGTCCTGAGCTCCTCTCCTCTCAGAGGTCGTTGTTTTTGGGAGGTGGAGTGGAGCGGGGGCCTGGTGGATGTTGCCGTTAGTTACAGAGGAATCCAGCGCAGAGGAAAGAGAAGCGAGTGTGAGTTTGGGAGGGACCATCAGTCCTGGTGTCTCAGAGTCTCTGTCAGTGGTTTCTCTGTTCGCCACAACAACCATGAAACCGTCTTGTCCTCTAGCGCCCCCTCTGGACACTCCTCCAGGTCCTTCTCCTCGGGGCGGGTTGCTGTGCTCGTAGACTCTGATTCTCTGTCCTTCTTTGACCTCTTTTCGGGGAGTCCAGTCCTTCTTCACACTTATGAAACCATCTTCACAGAGCCTGTGTTCGCAGGCTTCTGCCTCTGGAACCATGGCACCTCTGTGACTCTGGTGGATGTGAACAGCGCCACCAGGAGGAAACTACTGGTAAAACATCAGACCCCGAACCCCAGGTTCACCTGATTTAAACGTCTGAATGTTCTGACAGATCTGAGCTGTTTAAGATCAGACATGAAACTTCACTTGCACTTTTATGGATATAAGTTGTGTTTACAGGACGTCAGCACAGAATAGAATCTCTAAACTGAGCTGAGACAGGTGAGACAGGTGAGACAGGTGAGACAGGTGAGACAGGTGAGACAGGTGAGACAGGTGAGAGTTGTGGTTCATATCTCTGTAAATCTTGGGTCTATGCACATGAAACAAAAACTGGCACAAAGTTCATCTTCTGGTTCAGTATAAAGAAACAAAAGTGAAATTGTGTTTTCACAATCGCTTCAGAAAAACGAGTCGTTATTTAACCCTAAAGACGTGAGCGTTTCAGGTGAAAAGACTTTAAAGTGACACGTGACAGATTTGGATGATTCTCCAGTTCTGACTTAAGTTGTTGGGATCATTCTTTTTGTAAATACACTTTAGTCATCAAGAGGAAAATTTGTGAAGAAAAGCTGAAAATGTGTCTGGAGGTAAAATAAAAAAAAAACACTAAAAAATGGTCAATGTAACGGCTGCTAAGTCTTCGTCAGGCTGTATCCAAAGACCGGACACTATGGAGTCAGTCAGCTTTACTCCCTCTGCAGTCTCCAACGTGCTGTGACAGACATAAATACTCTAAATACTCTATTAATATGTCTTCACATTTCAGGCACTGGCTCCATCTGCAGTCTCCAACGAGCTACTGAGAGGGGGACCACAGCGTTTACATGTGACTCCCAACCAACCATACAAACCACGCACGAAGAACACAACTATTTTACATTTACATTAAGTACAGTGGAGTAATTATTTAGAGAAACAAATGCGCAATTTACAACTTTTGCAAAAATAAAATAAAATAAAACATACTTGTGACAGACATATAAATACTTACAATATCAAGCTAACTTTCATAATCCAAATAAAATGAAAAAACTCAAAATTTTGCATAAATACAAGAAATGATATGTGTTCTTGTATTTGTGCTAAAAGTACGTTGTTTTTGTGAAATATATTCTTCTCAACCCAGACAGAACTCACCCTCTGCAGTCTCCAACGTGCTGCTGAGAGGGGAAGTTGAACTACCAAAATAAAATACACACGGGAGCAGGGCGCACTTCCAGTTTTCAAAATAAAATGTGAAAATGATCAAATTCACATAAATTATGATTAAACATAAAATACAACCAGGAAACAGTAGCGTGCGCATTTTTAACTTTGTTACATAAAGTTTATTAGTAAAGTCGAACCCTAAACTGAGTCTTAAATATTCAGGTACAGAACAGAAACCGTCAGATCAACATGACGCGTTTGTGGAGCCGATAATAATGAGAAGGTTCAACATTTGTGGATCAGAAGTTTAGAGGAGATTTTCTGTTTTTGAAAGAAATCTCCCATAGAGTTAAACAGGACCAGACTCAAACTCACAGTTAATGGAACCAGACTCAAACTCACAGTTAATGTGAACGGACCAGACTCAAACTCACAGTTAATGGGAACGGACCAGACTCAAACTCACAGTTAATGGGAACGGACCAGACTCAAACTCACAGTCACAGTTAATGGGAACCAGAACTCAAACTCACAGTTAATGGGAACGGACCAGACTCAAACTCACAGTCAAACACAGTTAATGGGAACGGACAGACTCAAACTCACAGTCAATGGGAACGGACAGACTCAAACTCACAGTTAATGGGAACGGACCAGACTCAAACTCACAGTTAATGGGAACGGACCAGACTCAAACTCACAGTTAATGGGAACGGACCAGACTCAAAACTCACAGTCAAACGGGAACGGACCAGACTCAAACTCACAGTTAATGGACCAGACTCAAACTCACAGTTAATGGAACGGACCAGACTCAAACTCACAGTTAATGGAACGGACCAGACTCAAACTCACAGTTAATGGGAACGGACCAGACTCAAACTCACAGTTAATGGGACCAGACTCAAACTCACAGTTAATGGGAACGGACCAGACTCAAACTCACAGTTAATGGGAATCAAACGGACGGACCAGACTCAAACTCACAGTTAATGGAACGGACCAGACAGACTCAAAAACTCACAGTTAATGGAACGGACCAGACTCAAACTCAAACTCACACAGTTAATGTGAACGGACCAGACTCAAAACTCACAGTTAAATGTTAATGGACGGACAGACTCAAACTCACAGTTAATGGGAAACGGACCAGACTCAAACTCACAGTTAATGGGAACGGACCAGACTCAAACCCACAGTTAATGTGAACGGACCAGACTCAAACTCACAGTTAATGGGAACGGACCAGACTCAAACTCACATCAGTTAATGTGAACGGACCAGACTCAAACTCAAACCACACAGTTAATGGGAACGGACCAGACTCAAACTCACAGTTAATGGGAACGGACCAGACTCAAATTACCAGACTCAAACGCGGACAGTTAATGGGAACGGACCAGACTCAAACGCACAGTTAATGGGAACGGACCAGACTCAAACTCACAGTTAATGGGAACGGACCAGACTCAAACTCACAGTTAATGGGAACCAGACTCAAACGTTACGGACTCAAACTCACACAGTTAATGGGAACGGACCCAGACTCAAACTCACAGACTCACACAGTTAATGGAAACGGACCAGACTCAAACTCACAGTTAATGGGAACGGACCAGACTCAAACACACAGTTAATGTGGAACGGACCAGACTCAAATCACAGACTCACAGTTAATGGGGAACGGACCAGACTCAAACTCACAGTTAATGTGGGGACCAGACTCAAACTCACAGTTAATGGAACGGACCAGACTCAAACTCACAGACAGACTCAAACTTAATGGAACGGACCAGACTCAAACTCACAGTTAATGTCAAACGGAACGGACCAGACTCAAGACGGACCAGACTCAAACTCACAGTTAATGTGAACGGACCAGACTCAAACTCACAGTTAATGTGAACGGACCAGACTCAAACTCACAGTTAATGGGAACGGGACCAAACAGACTCAAACTGCACAGTTAATGGGAACGGACCAGACTCAAACTCACAGTTAATGGGAACGGACCAGACTCAAACTCACAGTTAATGGGAACGGACGGAAGACTCAAACGGACCAGACTCAGTTAATGGAAGACTTTGGAATGAGAATCAGCCTGTTTCCTCGATCTTCCTCTGAATTTCAGGAATCGAAACGTTTTACACTTTTTTGAATCATTGTGTCTCGATCGTGTCTTTTTAAGTGTTCATAAATTTGGTCTTTTTCTACTTAATAAAAATTACGTTGTGAAATGTTGTGTGTGTTCTGCTTATCACAGTTCCACCACAGACTGCTGCATCCCATAATTCAATTCTGTATCTACACATTTAGGGTCAGAGGGTCAGAGAGTGATGGGCCAGTGTGCGGACGAGCGTGTGAATGTCCATTTTGTCTTGTCTTGTCATGTATAATAAACTAGTTAAAGTGTTTTTCTGTTAGATGTGGGAGGGGACTGAAAATGTAAATGTTTCGCTTCATCCGTCTCCTTTTCAAACCTGCATAGTTGTATCTGCATTTGTATTGTTATGTTCTGAACTGAATGTGCAGGTTGGAAATAAATAAGTAAAAACGTGCCTGGAGTTGTGTTTTGTTTCATTCACATGTTTGAGTAATCCCTTTTTCATCAGTCTGTCTTCACCTTCAAAATTCAAACTGCTCTGTTCCACCTTGTGATGATATGTGCCGGTAGTTTTCAAGTTAACAACTCGTAGATTTTGTTCAGTAAAGATTGGCAGTTCCAGGCCTGAAATGATCCAATACACGCATCAAGAAGACTTCCCGTCATCGCACAATTCACACTGGGAAGGATCCTCTGAAAAAGTGAGCGTCAAACCTCCATGTTTGTTTTCCCAGTGGGACGTGTCTATTGTCAAAGTCGATCTTTTCAAGTCTTTTGAACCAATCACTTTTTGTTTCTGGTTCTGATATTGTCATATTTTAGTTTTGGGATTCGGACATCGTAATCGTGTGGTTGTTGGATCCTAACAGCGGAAAACGACTCGAGAAATTTGTTTGCGAACTCCATAAATGCAAAAGTGAATCAGATGTGTGTGACTCAAACCTCCGTTCAAACTGTTTCTCTTCCCAACGGAATTGAAAAATAGTGAAAGGTGAAGGTGATGGGCAGGATTGATCCACAGGAAGAACCAAAAAGGAAACATTTGTCTGACTAAGAAATCATCCCGAGTTTACAGAGAACATTTTGTATGTGGAGCAATGTTAGGTTTATCTAAACATTGTAAACAAGAAGAAAGACAAGAGATTAATTCAGTTTTACTCGCGAGGAGAACGGGCAGAGAGTGGGCATCAAAACCAACAGTCTCCACACGTTCTGATGACTCAAGGCCGTTCTCCTCTTTTTATTTCATTAGGAGGACCTAGTTACAGAATGATAATTCTCAAGGGGAAGGAGAACAGCCAAGAACATAATAAGAAACTGATGAAGCTAAGCTATAGTATAAACACATAAAACATGAATTAACAATCAGGAGGTTGCCTTAGGTCAGACACCATCATAACTCTTGCATGTGTGACAGTGGCAGTTGGCTTCATGTGAGGAATCATCTCAGAGGTTCACTAGAGCGACAGGACACTGCACACAGTTGTCAAACACACAGAGGTTATTCATTTTTATAGGCAAGGCAAGTTTATTTGTACAGCACAATTCGTACACAAAGTAATTCAAAGTGCTTTACAGAATAAGAAATACATTAAAAATCATAATAAAAACAAATCAAAACATAAATATCATGAAGATTAAAATTAAAAAAGAGAGACATAAATTGGAGAGAAGAGTGTGGAATGAAAACCTTTCAGTTATTTGCACAGTTAAACAGAAATGTTTACAAGTGATTTCATTATAAATCAAGAATTGTTACATAAATGTTAACTCATAGGCCCTAGAATATCACACAAGTATTTAGCAAATATGGGATAATAAAATTATTCTGACAAGCAACAACAAAAACAAAATCCCGTTGTTAATTGAGAGGAGCAGAAGACAAACAGACTGAGCTGCACTTTCTGTTCTTGTGGTTTTACAGCAACATCACGTCTTGGTCTCTTTGCAGTGGAAGGTGTTTCTTGGTGAACAGTTGGAGCCTTTCACTTTCACTTTGACTTTTTAAATTCGTAACCGAGTTTGAGCGAGGGATCGGGGTTTTGTTTTTGTTGGCAATGTTCCAGCAGACCAGAGGGACACTTCTGATATTAAACTGAATTCTTTGGAGGTAATTGGGAAATTTGCCACAGTCATTAAATAAATAAGTCCCGCAAAAATATTATTCCTCTGTTGATCCATTTTAGTTAAAAATATTGATTTGTTTTGTAAGATAAAATCAATATTGTTGGACCGGCTCTTTTTCACGTTTACGTCATAAACCGGGAAGATGTTTGGAAACATGCGATGGCGACTTTGCAGTGTGGAGCGACGACAAAGCAAAACCCCGATCCCTCGTTCAACCTCGGTTACAAATTTAAAAAGTCAAAGTGAAAGTGAAAGGCTCCAACTGTTCACCAAGAAACACCTTCCACTGCAAAGACCAAGACGTGATGTTGCTGTAAAACCACAAGAACAAAAAGTGCAGCTCAGTCTGTTTGTCTTTGCTCCTCTACATTAACAAACAGGATTTTTGTTTTGTTGTTGCTCCACATACAAAATGTTCTCTGTAAACTCGGGATAATTTCTTAGTCAGACAAATGTTTCCTTTTTGGTTCTTCCTGTGGATCAATCCTGCCCATCACCTTCACCTTTCACTATTTTTCAATTCCACTGGGAAGAGAAACAGTTTGAACGGAGGTTTGAGTCACACACATCTGATTCACTTTTGCATTTATGAAGTTCACAAACACATTTCTCGAGCTGTTTTCTGCTGTTAGGATCCAACAATCACACAATGACGATGTCCGAATCCCAAAACTAAAATATGACAATATTAGAACCAGAAACAAAAGTGATATGGTTCAAAAGACTTGAAAAGATCGACTTTGTCAATAGACACGTCCCACTGGGAAAACAAACATGGAGGTTTGATGCTCACTTTTTCAGAAAATCCTTCCCAATATGAATTTCACAACGACTGTGCTTGAAAATTACCATCCATCCATTTTCGTCCGCTTATCCGGGGCCGGGTCGCGGGGGCAGCAGCCTAAGCAGGGACTCCCAGACTTCCTTCACCCCAGACACGTCCTCCAGCTCCTCCGGGGGACCCGAGGTGTTCCCAGGCCAGCAGGACATAGTCCCTCAGCGTGTCCTGGGTCTTCCCCGGGGCCTCCTCCCGGTGGGACATGCCAGAACACCTCCCGAGGGAGGCGCCCAGGAGGCATCCGGAACAGATCCCGAGCCTCAACTGGCTCCTCTCGATGTGGAGGAGCAGCGGCTCTACTCCGAGCTCCTCCCGTGTGACTGAGCTCCTCACCTTGTCTCTAAGGGAGCGCCCAGCCACCCTGCGGAGGAAACTTTTCAAGCGCTTGTATCCGCGATCTCGTCCTTTTCGGTCACTA